TTGAATTACTAGTTCTATTATATTATATTACTAACAAAAAAAAATAAATATTTCAAGTTTTTTAATACATATTTTGCTAAAAAAAAAAGATCATAAATATTAACATATTTTGACTTTTATTACATAAAAATCCGCGCCCTAGTTATAAAATTGTATAAACTAATATTGTCCATATTACAATATAAAACATATAATAAACAATATTAAATATAATATAATAAATATACAATATATAATAACAATATAATAAATATATTTTATAAATTGTTTAATAATATACAGAATTGTCTAGGACAGGCATAATATATATTCTAAAATTTATATATTGGTTGGTTTTTAGATATATTATCCGAAAAAGTCCAAACAAGGAATCAGTAAATTCCAATTTAAAAACTGTTAAAGTTCAAAATACCACAGCAATTGCATTGCCTTCTGATCATTTGAAATCCGAAAATTTGAAGTTGCAAACATCTTTCATTGAACATAATGACCCAGCTTTACCATTACCATCTGATCGTTTAGAAAGACACTCAAAATTACTCAAAGGGCCCTGCCAAGTCCACTTATCTCTTTATCCAAGAGTAAAATTCGGGGATCGATTTCGTTCTTTTCAAAAATCATGGTACGAAACTTTTAAATGGTTAGAATACAGTGAAAGTATAAACGCAGCATTTTGTTTTTGTTGTCGAGCATTCTCTTCGAATAATATAATTAAAAAAGGTCATATCGATCAATCGTTTATAAAGAAAGGTTTTACTAATTGGAAAGGTGCCACTGAAGCTTTTAGACTACACGAGAAGTCACAATGTCATATTGATAGTGTGATGTCGTGGGAACATTTAAAAAAAGGAATTCCCATTGATGTTAAGTTGGATAAACAAAAAGAAATCACATTAGCAGCTCGTGAAAAAATACGTTTAGAAAACCGGGATATCATCAAACGTTTAATTGATGTTATAATTATATTAACCAAAAGCGGAAGTTCATTCAGAGGACATCTTGAGCATGAAGATAGTGTGAATAAAGGACTATTTTTAGAAATCGTAGATCTACTCAAACGATACGATCCTATTATAAAAAATCATTTAGAACATGGGCCTAAGAACGCACAATATTTGAGTGGAAAGATTCAAAATGATATAATAGCCTCAGTTCATAATGGGATGTTTCAAGAAATATGCAAGAGGTTAAATGGTCAACAGATTGCAGTTATGGCTGATGAGACCAGTGGTCACATTGAGCAAATGGCAATCGTAGTAAGATATTTTGATGATGTAGAAAATAAACCTATCGAATTATTCATCTCTCTGCAGCGTCTAGAAACTACTGATGCACAATCCATTTTTAATGTTTTAAACACAATAGTCAATAAGTTAAAACTCGATTGGCTCTCTGTTTCTTCCGTTTGTTTCGACGGCGCAGCCGCAATGGCAGGTCATATTTCTGGAGTTCAGTCCCGATGTAAAGAAAAAAACTCTAAAATATTATACGTACACTGTTTTGCTCATTGCTTAAACCTTGTACTTGTAGATTCTTGCATTTCGCGTAAAGAGAATAGTATGATTTTTGATTTTTTTGGAACAGTTCAAATAATATACAATTTTATTGAAGGCAGTCCATCTCGACACGCGGTTTTTGAAAAAATTCAAAAAAGTGTTGGTGTAAAATTAAAGACTTTAAAATCCCTTTCAACAACTAGATGGGCTTGTAGGGCAGAAGCTGTAACAGCAATTCGAGACAACTTCTCGGTTATAATTCAGACAGTTAATGAAATAAATTATTCAACTAAGCAACCAGAAATAAAAGCTAAAGGAAAGGGTATTATTTCCCAATGCTTAAATTTTAATTTTATCATCTGTCTCGAACTGATGCATCCTATTCTACAGTTGATTGTAAAAGTTAGTAGAGTACTTCAAGATCCCGGATTAAGTATTTTGACAGCTTTGGAAGAGATTAAGTGTCTTCGTTTGGCAATAGAAAATATGCGTTCCGATAGTTTATTTTATGATGATATTTATGATCAAAGTCAGCACATTTGTGAAGAACATGGCGTAAACATACCATCAGTCAGACCTAGAAAACTGCCTGCACGTAGAGATGAAAATTGGAAAAATCAGTTTGTATTTGAGACCAAGAAAGAGGAAATCCGAGTTTCTACAATGTATCCATTGATTGATTCATTAGTACAAGGAATTGACGAACGTTTTAATCAAGAAAGCACTTCAATCATTACTGGTGTGGGGAAAATGTTAAAATTTGAATTGAGCAAAGATGACATTAATTTATTGACAAATCATTTTGATTTATCAAAGGACGAATTTGTAAGTGAAATACATCTTTTGAAGGCACGAAACAAAGATGATATTCTTACTAATAAAGACTGTGCATTTTGGTTAAAATGGTTACGAGAAAATGGTATTGAGACCATTTTTTTTCAGCATAGAAAAGTATTAAAAGGTTTCTCTGTCATACCAGTCACAAGTGCTTCGTGTGAAAGAGCTTTTTCGAAGCTAACACATATTAAAACTAAGCTACGGACGACAATGACTCAAGGGCGATTGGAAAATTTAATGCTTCCATATATTGAACAAACCATGGCAAAAAATGTCGACATTAATGATGTGATCGAAGAATTTAAAAGAATGGTCCCATATGAACGTCGTTTAGCTTTATAAGTCTTAACTTTAAGATACAATTTTAAATATTATTAGTATCTGTATTTCACATGTAACATTTTAGTTTATATTATAACTTATAAGAGATACAATTTTAGATTTATAACATCAATAATTACCTATGTTATACAGTTGTATTGTAATAAAAAAAAACATTAATGTTCCATATATCACTCTCCACCCTTATTTCTTTTGAGTATGATAGGTGAAAAATTACTCTCATGAGTGGCCCAGTCTAATTAAAATGTCTAGTTCCGCCTATGAGTAAAGGTGTTGCACAGCTACATCGTAACTGCATAAGTATCTATTAGAAAACGACATAGTACATGCACGTGTGTTTACATGGTTTGAATACTAATATTAATTGTATATTTCAACAAAAAGCATACCATTTAGACTTATAAACGCCTTTTCGTCTTAAATTGAAAATAATATTTTATATTTTTAACTATTTTTTTAAATTAAAATGTGCTGTAGCGTAACTTTATGTCTTTATACATAATTTGTGTATATTGTTATTGTTATTTGGTTACAAAAATATTAAATATTTTGTAAATCAGTTTACTTATAAATAGTTGTCAATAGATATGTACATAGATATGTATAAACTTTTTAATATGATTCTAAAAATACCAAATAATAATACTGGCAATAAACTAGACTTCATTGTTTAATTTACTATGTGCTATAATCTGCTACTACAACTAGTACGTCTAAAAATTAATTGTTTCTATGTTTTTATAATAATATTATATTATATTATATTATATTGTTATAACTTCATGCATTCGAATGAATTAGTAATTATGTTCACTTATGTCGTAAGTTTTTAAAAAAATATTTGTGTTAAGATGTATAATGCAATATATTATTTTAATATTATATTAACAAATACACTTGATAGTTTTTACTAATTTATTAGTACCTAGGTACCTAAAAGTATTAACTTACCTTTACCTGTTCCCATGGTTTTTAAGACTGGAATTTTCTCTTCAAAAAGATCCTAGTAAACTCTGTGCTTTTTTTTTACCTCTTCGATATCCTTATTTATATTTTTCGCTATCTCTTCCCACGCTTCTTGTTTTTTCGTTTTAGAAAAATAGTACTCATGACTCGGATATCATAAGACTGGTTTTAATTCATATTCCTGGATTAATTCAATACAAGCTTCATTACTCCACTCCATGGCTAAAACTTAGCTTGAACATTATTTTCTAAAAGACTGGTAGCAAAACAGAACGCATGCAAAATAATTTTTTAATCAAAAATACGTCCAAACGGAGCAGTGTGTCGGGAAATTATGTCTTTGAGCAATGTCAAGTTACCGACGACAATCGGATCGCGTTCGCTATGCGTCGCGAGAATTCACGAGAGCTCGGGATACCGTCCAAACGATGGAAATTTGTGCGACGCACGGCGTGAGTACACATGCTCAGCGTGTGCGTGCTCTCGTGTGGACGCGCCTTTATATATGCCACCCGATCGCGGTGCACTACTCCTCCAGCATTGTGCTTGGACCGGCGTATGGAAGGAAAGTGTCGTTCAGGGGTGCCGATGTATTTTGAACCACCTATTACAATTTTATTTTGAATCAATACACCCATCACCCACCCACTCACCAACAAAAATAATCCTCTTCAAAACAGAGTCGTATCTGAGGAGGGAGTGGGGGGAGTCCAAGTGGTCTGGACCCCCCACCCCTGAAATTTTTCCAATGTCTTATTTTTAACCAAATATAAAAAACCTAAATTCAATAAAATTACAATATATATATTTTGGGATTGGGACCCCCCTCCAAAAACAATTTCTGGATACGGGAGTATCAATTCCAGAGCATCAATTCCTTAATTATGCACAACAAGAACATTCTAGTGGTCCTACAGTACAAATATATTCTTAATCATGTCTTACATCTTGCATAAATGTAAATATGTAATTAACTTTTTTAATTAACATAGGTACAATTTGAGTTTTTATTTTATTTATTTTACTCGTGGTATTTAGTTACAACAGGGCACTTCAAATGAATTGGGTAAACAAAGAAAATGGCACAACTGTGTAAAGAGCCAAAAAACAACTGGAATAGATTCAATCGTATTTAAAAAAAGTTTTTTATTGTATTAAATTAAACAAGAAGAATAAATAATTAATACAAAATTAAACTGAACATATGTGTAATTGATAAATTATCAATATATTGTGAAAACAATATAATATTATAAACTTACCTAATTTAAGTTACAAAATAAATAGCAATAAAAAACAAAAACTAATAATTTTTTCAGCAATAAAAATTATATAAAACCATTATATTTAAAAACAAAACTACATTGTATGTAGTTTAGTAAGAACTTTACTCTTAGTTGCAAATGTTTTAACCACTTCATCTTTGTCTTCAATATCATTTTCACAAGATATTATTAATAGGTTTTCCAATGGGTTTTGAGATATACTTGTTCTGAGTCTGGTTTTAAGTAATTTCAAACGTGAAAATGACCTTTCTGTACTTGCGGTACTAACTGGCAATGTTACAGTTATTTTCAACGCAATGTAAAGATTTGGAAAAACTGTACTCATGTTTGCTGTACACGTCATGATTTATACTACCAGCATTTTGCATTTCCCATGTACTTTTTGTAGGTAATAGTTCTTCATCACTTGACGATGATGGTTATTTCTCATCTTCATCAAAATTGTGTGTTTGATGTAATTCATCAGGCAATTCATATTATTATTTAACATTTTAAAAATTTTAACAAACTGTAAATATTTGTTTTGGGATCTTCTTGTGAAATAATTGTATAAGTTGAACAAAATACACTAAAACTATCTATTGGAAACTTTTTAACATTAATATTTATTTCATAAATTCTTTTCTTTGAGAATAATGAAAAATCCCTCAAATTACCAATATGTTCATCATTAATTCGACTTTCTTAAGTTGACAGAGTTGTGTCTAATATAACGTTAAATGTCTCAACTTTCATTTTATATAACGGATCTACATTAGCATTATCTGAACATTTTACATTTTGATCGTGTTTTCTAGGTACTCTTATATGTTTCATCTGTTTAAGTTCTTCAAACTCTCTATCAGATGCATTAATAAAATCTTAAGCATTATTTACAGTGTTTTGAAATACATTATCATTCCTAGATTTTTTAACTTCATAGCGAGCAAAGAAAATTAGATCTGTTGCTGTCAAAAGATCAATATCTGATTTTTCAAATGCTTTGTTGAGTGGATCAAGAATATCAAATAATATTTTAAAACAAAAAGCTGTTAAAATAAATAGAAAAGACAAAAAATACCTAATCAAACCATTAGCAGTTGCTGCAGCCTTCACATCTGATGGACCTTCTTTTTCAATTATTTCTTCTAAGGTTTGAATTAATAACTTGACGCGGTCCAGCGCGGTCCAAGGCCTGGTTTCCTACAACCACGCATCCGTGATTGCGTGATGCGTGATCACGCAAAAGTTGAAGTACCGAAAAACAGTTTGTTGCTTATTAATAATTCATGTGCGTGTTTGGACATGCGCGCGATTGTTATTTCACTCGCGTGAATCGAGCTGTGGTCGCCACAGTGTCGACATTTGAGTTTCACGCCGTGTGAAAGACCATGTTATAAAATTAATTTTTAATTTTTATTCAAATTTATATAATTTTGTTTATTAAATTGTATTACTATAGTCCCTTCCCTTGTTTGGGAATAAACTAATTAATATTTATAGTATTAAATATTTTTAATTCGTTGCAGTAGTTATATATTATAGTAGTTAATATAGTTAAATATAAACCCAAATCAATCAGTAGAAGGCAAGTATCAATTTCATATATTTTATTTTACAAACATGATTATTGCTTATTTAATGTAAATCATTGACAAATTCAAAAAAAATCTTAAATTAGTTTTCGGAAAATTATGGAGTCGAAGTCGTTTACTGCCATAGACGACGAAAAACTTATTGAATGTATGAATCGAAATTATCCTGTTTTGTACACATTGGAAGACAAAAATTATAGAGATAATAGCATCAAAGAGAATGCGTGGAAAGAAATTTCAGACTCCATAGGAAAATCTGGTATGTAATATTATTAGATAAAGATTATTTTAATAGGTAGTCCAAATTACAGGAGGCTGGGCAAAATTAATGACAAAATTAACTTTACTTAGTTAAGTTAAGTCAACACCAGAATATTAGGTATAACATTATAGGTAACATATTAGGTTTAAGTTGGTACAACCAGGGTCACATTTTACAGGGTAGTGATAGTGCGACTCAATTTATTTTTTAAATAATAACCAATAATGTTGTCAAAAAAGCACTTTATTTTATTATACAATAGATTTGAGATTTTTTTTTAATGCACGTTTTAATGAATTATTTTTCATAGTTTTTTGGTAATAACTAAAATAATACCTATTCATGTTGAGCATACCTACTAAAAATAAATTTTTATTTTACTTTGTACTAAAATTACTAAATAAATTGAAAAAAAATTGAATATTTTAAATAAAAACCATTAAATTAATTTTGGACTGCCTACTTACTTAACTTTTAAAAATAGCTCAATATATACAATTACATTATTTCAATTAGTCCAAGTTACATGTTTATGCTGCCAGCTCACTGACCCTAACCTGCTGTTGAGGGAGCGCGTAAAATATCCGAAAATATTTTAGCCGACACATATTTCGTACGAACCGTATTTTAGCCGACAGTATTTAAGCCGACAAGTATTTTATCCGAACTATATTTTAGCCGAACCGTATTTAAGCCGAAAAATATTTAATTCGAACATATTTTAGCCGACACATATTTCGTCCGAACCGTATTTTAGCCGACAGTACTTAAGCCGACAAATATTTAATCTGAACCGTATTTAAGCCGAAAAATATTTAATCCGAACATATTTTAGCCAAACCATATTTTAGCCGAAACGTATTTTAGCCTACACATATTTTGTCCGAACCGTATTTAAGCCGACAAATATTTAATTTTTCAATTTTATGTTAAATTTTTCCTCAGTGGTAATTACACTATGTCCAAGACAGTGGTGGCTCACTGGCTCCATATATTATATGGTGGGGGACAAGTCTTAGTTTTCAGAAAATGTTGATGATTTTTTTTTGTTATTTTGTTTTTAACAGTTTAAAATTGTTTAGAAATACAGCTTGGGGATCCACCCCTGGTCCAAGCGGGAACGTTCCGCTCAGAGGACATGGATTTTACCGTACTACACGTCACGGGGAGCTTACAAAGTCGTTGTCCACCTATTATTAGGTTGTATACTTGTATTTACCGTATTGCATTATACAGAGATTTCACAATTTGTGTCCATTAGTTCGTGCTTTACACAAAATATATTAACTGAATTTTTAAACTACAAAATTGGTGTAACACCTTACTCGAACATTTTGACGTTGAATGAAAAAAGTATACAGAACCCAATATTTATATATGAGTTCTACTTTTTTTTATCGAACGCGCCTACCTAAGAATACCTAAGTTAGTATTTCAATTTCAATTAAAATATTTATAGACGTTTTTGTACTTAAAAATATTGTATACAAAACAAATCCTGAAATCCTCAGTCACACATAAAATATTTAACATAAATCACACATTTTTATATTTAATTTAAATAATACATCAATACCTATCACGTAATGACCATGGTTGCCGATATTTAAGACCAATTAAAAAAGAAAAGATAATTTTTGCCCGGTGTGGAAAAATTATAGTCAGGCCAATAAAATGCAATTTTGATAAATTTTAAGTACCTATGCATAAGCATATCCTGTAACATCTCAAATGACGCCCTTGGGGCCTGGGCCGCCTATTTTTTTTTAGTTTTGGCCACTAATAGATGTTTAAAAGTAAATTAATTTTATTGTTTTGATATGATAATAATATTAACGTCATATTAGGTAGGTACTTATTAGACGTTCAGTAGTATATATTTGTATATTCTGAGCCAGCTTTTCCACGGTAACTAAAATTTTTCAAGTGGGAATGTCCCACTTATAGCACTCCGATTTACCGTGTAACACAATACGGCCCTTGTACAAAAATAAAAATAAAAATACTTGTAAAGATGTAAAGAATGAATCATTTGTTTTTTAAAAGCATTGCAATACCTACTTCATAGTTTACTTTCACGGAAATAAATGTTTAGGTATTTAACAAGAATTGACTCCCCGTCTCCCCACAATCATGATTTTTGGTTGCACTCGTCACTTGTGACAAACTGACAACTAATTTATTGTTTGGTTAAAGTAAAGTTGCACACAAATATTTGTGAACAGTAGGTATATTGTAGTGACAAGTGACAACATAATGATAATAGTAAGTAATAAGTATATTACATGGCTTACTCGAATTACCTATTTTATTTCTTACAAATTTATTTCAACATTATCCCACGACTTGCATTAAAGTAGGTACGTTGTGAAACAGCGTTTTAAAAATCGAAATACCTTTATGGTTATTGTCTATTGGTTATACATAAATATATTATTAAATTAACTAAATATGAAAATTATTATGATACCTAATAAAATAACCATATCATATAACCACAGCAAACTTACCTATATGCTAAATCATATATTAATATAATATCTTAACTGTACATTGCTTATTGATGCATGAAATAAAATTATATATTTAATGCTATGATATTATACTGCATATTATGCATCATACCTACATTAAATAAGTACATTTAATAAGTACCTAACACAAATGTACAAGGCACAACTGTATGTAATTATGTCTGTATACCTATATTGGTTCTGTGATTGGATTTTCGATTTAACTATAGTATATTTTTATTGAAATCAATAATTTATTGTAGGTATAGGTACCTACGTAGTGGCGGATTTTTTTACAGTGATACATTTTTTTACACTATGTTGATAATAAAGCTCCTTAGATACTTATCATGAACAACACAATTTCAGGGTAAAAACAAATTTAACATATTTCTTGGTAGTAGTTTACAATATTAACACGTTTAGTTCTACGTGATACCTAAAATCTTAGTAATTTATAATAAAAAAAAAAGTTCAATATGCGGAACTGTGGGTGCTTCAGCTTCCAAGCACCACCACTAAATCCGCCACTGATTGTACCTACTCAAATAGACATAATAAAATACAATAAATGTAGGTACATTAATACATTATACATATTATTATATAATCAATACTGAGAAGTGACAAATAATGGTATGATATTAATTTTTTTTAAAGTATAATAGAATATAATATATTATAAAATTATATTTTATTATTAATTATACATATTAAGATGTATTTAATACTGAATAATTCATAATGCTATTTTTCAAATTTCTCATAGTTTTTCTTTATCATATTATACAACTGATACATTTACTGTCTACTGATTTACGTTTGTGTTCATATAGTTTGTATTTTTGTAAATTATTAGATGAATATTAATTATTATGCATGAATTGTTTGTGGTCATAGTAGACACTGGACAGTGCCACAGTGGTTTAAAGTAAAACCATGTTACAACATTTTAGAACATGGCGGGTTTCCGCTGTACACGTATGCGTGTACGTGCATACAAATCCTTTGCTGTGATTGGTTGGTTAGGTTAAGTTACCACACGATTAACAGTATACCGTGTGGCAGGACATAGCTGAACATTTTTCGTATATAGTGGAAACCCGCCTTTAAATAATACCATAGAACAATATAGAAGCGAAACTCGATCAGCTGATTGGGGTATTGGTTACCTATGATCTGAAGTCTGAACCTCCGAAAAACATGGAATTGGTTCCACGCACCAACATGATGTTAAACCCAAGGTTACACAGGTTACAAGAAAATGGTTCCAAATCGTTGGTGGGGTATTCTGCGCGGGGTCGGGAAGTTTCCACTGTTTATATGATATGATATATTTAATTGATAGCGTATGCCACGCCACCTTGGAGACCATGTTCAAGGCCAGAATCTCCCGATTCGGTCAACTCACGGAGTTTCGTACCCTTGATAATACCACAGAACAATAATACCGATTATTTATGGTTATCAATTGATAATAATATTTTTTGGCGTTATCTTTTACAACAAGCTATAACATGCTATAACCGAATATCACAACCGCGGTATCCAGTAACATCAATTCTCCGAAAAACGGGAGCGTGCTGAATAAATAGCTGCTGAAAACCAACTTAGGTTACCCGTATTTTCAAAACGTTTACCAAACCATTGGCGGGATACGCACTCGGTGTCAACTTGTTTACCATTCCCAATTTAACGTATGACACGCCCCCCTGGAAACCGTGTACGGTACCTCTAAGTAAAAATCAAATGTTATTTTTAGAATCAGAATGTTCGGGTTTTTTTTATCTTGTATTTTCCACAAGCAACAACAATATTACACAATCAATTAATTTATTCATTGTCATAATGTCATATCGTTACTTGATGATACTTCGTTACTATACATCAGATTTTACGTCGTGCTTTAATATTATGTTATTTCAGTCGATTAGTGTTTATTCGATTTAATTACATTATTTTATACGGTTTTTATTGGTGTACATTAACTATAATGAAACATGAAGGACATTTCTACAAGCTCAATAAATCACAGAATGGTAAACAGTAAGTAACTTTATTTTCTGTTAATTTTTAAAACAATAAAGAAATACATAATAATATAATAGAACATTGGAATACCTAGTTAACATACCTACTTATTGCAGTTATTTCATATGTGCAACTCCGAACGTGTTCTGTAAAGGTACGGCAGTCCAATTAATAGATGGTACCATAAAAGCTAATAAACATCACTCACATGATCCTTATGGTGAAGCCTTCAATGAGCTCGAAGATAGACGTTCTTTTAGAAGTACATTAATTGAAAGATCCAGAACAGAGACTGAAAGCCTGAGATCAATTTACGACGGAGAATCGATTAGGTAAGTTTAACTGCATAGATGCATCACCCAAATTTTTCATAAATGTATGATTTTCTTATTATCAGATAATTATAGAATATTTGAAATCCATATACTAAAAAAAACGCAAAATAGTTAATATTATATAATATATTATAATATGTATGTATTTAATATTAGGTCTTAATAATAAATTGCACCTATATATACCCAACAATATGATTATAAACATGTAGCTACAAGACTCAGATTAGATTCCTTGGCTATTAATGGTAGTAAGTCAATCAAATCTTTTTTTTTTTTTATATATGTCCCATCATAAACTGGCTCTAATGTTATATTTGCCATACTTTTTGATCCTCTTCTAATAATATTTAAAGACTTAAATTTTACTTTTTAATTTAGACTAGTTTTATTCAATAGTTACCCAACATTGATGTTTTATTGCACATCAAGCCAAATAAACGTCATGCCCTCTTCATTCGTTTTCCTCATGACTAAAGGGAATTTTATAATCTTAGCAAAGTTCCAAATTTCACCTTGTTTCATTGCATAATGTATATATATATCATTGTATATTATACATTAAATGGTTTTTTTTTGTTGGTACAACTTATTTAATGTAGCCCAATCCCTTGGATGTGCTACAATGGTTTCTGATTTTTTTTTTTCTTTTCGATGAGTGAATGATAGGAATGTATTTGAAATATGAATGATCACAATCACACTCCATATGGGTATGTCCTGGCTCCAAAAAATTTTGATTGATTTCTTGTAACGTTTTCTTCTTTGATAATAGAGCAAAGAACATACTGACCGTGTGGAAATTCTTATTTTGTCCTGCACTAGAATCAGAGTTTAATGTAACTGTTTTTGTAGCATCACTGGTAGCGACTCAATTTTCTCACATTTAGTCACTTTTTTTTTATTAATCACTTATTTACTTTTTCATAATTATGGTATCTTTCCTCACTAGTTTGATATTTTTTAATAAGATTCTTATTGACTTAAGTTCTTGTGCATATTATAGACAGTGAACTTTACCAATTATTGTACATATTAATGAGTACAATTTGTTAACTAGATAAAATTCCAGATAAAACATTTTTATAATTATTTATATTGACCTATGTCAGCATGAATAGTTTCCTCAAGAGAAACTCTGGTTGACAATTACTACTCAGATTTAGGCAATTTGGTAATGTTATGACTATGTATCCAAAAACTAAGTTTAATTTAATTTATGAATGTTTTCTTACTAATATTAATGATCGTATAAGTATAATAAAATATTATTTTAAGTTATAAATGTTATAACTATTGTCTAATAGACACTAGTCAACTAGGTATGCAATATATCCAAGAATGATTGTAGCATTATTTGTTTGGTAAAATCTGGTATGTTTTCTAATGTTCTTTAGAGTTATAAACACATTTTCTAATTCTGTTAATGGACACCTAAATTAAATATACCTTATTGGTAATTAAAGTATTTTTTAAAATACTCAACTGAGTCAACTGAACAAAAAATAATTATAATATGTTTTCTTGGTACAGTAACTCAAATCTCAATAGGTCAATATTATATATCTAACAAACTGAGATTAAACTTAAATTGTATGTGCTAAATGGCGGTAAATTAAAATTAATTGTGTAAAAAACTAATTTCAGTATGAATTTATCTATAAATACACAATTCTACCATTACAATTGACTATAAATACAAGCATATACGAGGGCATATATTATATACCTAATACAATTTTACAGAGATCCACGTGCAGCAATTCTTTACAGTTGGCCATCAGCAGAATCATCTATGCGCCATGCAAGAAGGCAAACTCTCCCACCATTGCCCTCAACGTTGCGTGAATTGGGCGAATATCTTGATTTAAATGCAGAAAGGTAGCACTAAAAAAAATCCGTAAAAATTCTTAACTTTTTTCCATGTATGATAACATTGTTATAACCTACTGTTTACAGGTACCGCTGTAAAAACTCTTCATTTTATCAAGAGTGGATTATTGACAATGCTGGGAAATACAGCATCATGTTTTCATGTCAGGAATTGATTAGTGCTGTTGTGCATCAAGGTGCCACAGAACTTCACGCAGATGCCACCTTTAAGGTTGTGCCATCTACACCTCATTGTCAACAACTATTTATCATACACTTAATTTTGCAAAATCATGTAATCTAAATATTTAATTATTTGCATGTATTATGATTAAAATATATATATATATATTTAATTCGTTGTTTTTTTAGTCTATACCTGTATGCTTTGTGTTCATGGAAGCAAAAACTGAGGCATCGTACAGGAAGGTGATGGAAAGGTTCCAAATTAAATTCCCAGAAGTTAAGCCTTTGGTAATTATGACGGATTTTGAAACAGCCCTACGTAATGCTTTTATGTATATTTATCCTGAAGCTCAAATCTTTTCATGTTGGTTTCACTATGTACAGGTATGTTATTAAAGATTCATTAAATTATTTCATATTTTATTTAATTATACTTTCAGCCTCAAAAAAAAAAATAATAATAATAATAAAATTAATAAACTCAACATGTTATTATAGTGTTTACAGAAAAATATAAAGAGAATGGGTTATTCTGGGTACATTGGGCAAAACAGAGAGGCTAAAATGTGTTTAAGAATGTGTGCGGCGTTGGCTCTATTACCTGCTAATAAAATTGAGCAAGGCTTCCAAGAAATCAAAAATTATGCTCATAATAACGAAATACTGATACCAAGGTTCTTCACATACTTTTCTAGGTATACTTTTATGTCTATAGAGAATTATAATATTCCTAATTCTGTTTCATGCATTTAGTTTTTGGCTTATAAGAAAAGGTCCTGAATGTTTTTCTGTGCACGGTCAACCACGTCGCACTAATAACAATGTCGAAAGTTTCCACTCTACATTGAAACAAACCTTTCAGGTGATGCACCCGAATTTGTGGACGATGTTGGGTGAGTTATTTCAGTATAAAAATGTTTTAGATAATATTTATGTACTTATCTATAAACTTAATTTTAAATTCTATAAAAAGCATATTAGTGTTTGACTAAAATAATTTATAGTCATTTTAGTTACTAGGACCTAGTACAACATATGTATATGAAAATTATACTTTTTTAAATTGCTATCCTTTTTTTATTAATATCATAATTAATTGGTTAATTTTTAATTTAAGAACACCTAAAGAATATTAGCAAAAAGATGCACATCGTCGTGGATCAATTAGCTGCAGGATTACCCACAACAAGACGTGTAAAGTTTAAATATATTTTAAATTCAAAACGGATCAAAAATTCGACCGCTTTATTGAGTACAGGAGCCATTACTATTAAAGAATTTCTTATACAATGCTCATACTGTACAGACCAGTATTTAACAACGGAATTAAGTTGGCATGAAGAAATTGAAGGTACTTATGTTATAAATAAAATTATTACTTAGAGTTTACTAATATTGGTTGATTTGATTTAGAAATATAAATATATACACATATTAATATAAATATTAACATAAAATAAATAACTAGGGTGTGTACTTACATTTATTAAACTACTTATTTAATATTAATTATATGTTTACTTGCAAATAAATTATTGTTTTTTTATTTATATTGTGCTAAAATAGAATCTGAAGAAGAAATTGTACCAATGATCTTAAATATGCCCATAGCCATAGCTGTAGATGCAGAAGCAATTGCATTAAATCATGACGAAGTTGTCGATCTAGATGGTATGTACAATGCAATAACTGCTAAATAATATGATTCCTTTTTTAATTTCCACAAATTATTATTGATATATTACTACCTACCTACTGTCCTACCTGATAAACTAATGGTTTTCCTTTTGTATTGGGCTAAAATTGAATCTGAAGAAGAAATTGAACCAATGATCTTAAATATGCCCATAGCCATAGCTGTAGATGCAGAAGCAATTGCATTGAATCATGATGAAGCTGTCGATCTAGAGGGTATGTACTATTCAATAACTGCTGAATAATATGAATCTTTATTATAATTTGCACAATGTATATTTCATTTATTACTACCTATCTTATTATCATAATAATTATTAGACCCAGAAGTGCTGGAAATTAATGAATACAACGAAGCCGACTTTTATATTCCTGAAGATGCTGAATTTGCCATCTGGGAGGAAAACTTAAGAGGCGAAGAAGTAGATGAAGTGCCATACTTTCCAGTTTCTTTAAATTCTAATCGTTCTCAGAGAGATGATGAAGACATTTGTGTCGTTTGTAGAGATGGCCTTAGAACCCATGCACTAATACCATGTGGTCATAAGGTTTTATGTTCTGATTGTTTATCTGAGTTAGATCCACAACGTTGTCCAATATGCAACAGCAACTATACATCTTTTTTAAGAATATGGTGATATTATAAATAAAAAATAATAATTTTATTAAACTGTATAATTTGTTGGTAATTTTAAACTCACTATCAATCGGATCCAAACGTGATTTACTCGAGTACAAATGGTACAATGAACATGAAATATAAATGTTGATAATGGTCAGTACAAGATACCGGTAAACCATAAACCCACAATAGACAGTTAACCCTAAAAATGTTAACATAAAAATTTTGACACACATATGAGAGATCCATATTTTTTAAATGAATGACATTTCCAGGATATCATCAGGTATTATTATAGGCTAAATATAGTAAGATAAATTATTAGGATAAATTATTTTCCAATGGCTGTTTTGCACATACAATTTTGTACGTATATTTTTATGCGGGTATAGAGAAATTACTTTCAATTGGGGAATATTCAATAAAGGACATTTTATGTATTTCCCTCTGCCTTAGCCCCTAAGTAAGAACTATACAGTGTTAGTTAACTAAACTGTGAGTTGTTGCACTAGACAATAGTTATACCATAACATTTTTAATTGTACTAATTTTATTATTACTTTATAGCGGCTATCTGTTAAAATTTATAATAGGTAAGTGAGTTTGCTGAAAGATGAGAAACATTAGTCAATGTGCTAATGTAAAAAAAAGATAGACTTGAATATTGAAAATATTTTAATTATTTATATATAATTATATAATATAGTAAGACAATGACTCTGTCAAAGTTACTTCAGTACTAAAATGTCCAAATTAGGTACTTGCGTGACAAAATACAACATAATAATTAACTATATATTGTATATTGTAATAATATATCTTAATTATATAGCTATTATAGCTAATACCTACATATATAATATGTATATATATATATATATAAAGTGTGTAATCGGTCCCATTGTGAACACTCAATATCATTGCGTAGAGTCCTGCAATTTGAATTTTGCTTTCTAGTTGGTTGTTATGACAGAAAAATACACTTTTGTATGGCCTTTGAATTTTATAAACTTAATTAGACTTGCGGATGCGCAGTACAACTTATTTTTATTAAAAGGCAAATACAATACCTATTTTAACCACAAATTTTTTTTTTGCATACATTTTTAATGGATTTTGGTAGTTATACCTACTTTCAAAGTACAAAATTGACAAAGTTATAGCCAATCAACAAAAAGGGAGCTTGTAATTTGCACCAAAATGAGTATCTAATAGTGATGAGCAGTATCGATAGTTAAATATTGAATACTAAACATTCGTCAATAATACTAAATAAACTAACTGGGGAATAATCTAGGGATGCTCCTGCTTCGATCCTTGAAGGGTTCGGTTCATAAGGATAGGATTTTTATTAAAGGACTTATATTTAAGGATTTAGGTTTTTGTTCGATTTTTCAAAATCAAAATTAAATTTTGAAATGAAATTTGAATGGATCAAAAATTATTCCATATGTTGGAAAGCCAATACTTTAAATAGTTTTTAAAAACTAGAATATTTTTTAATATAATTTTCAAAGATTTGCGATTTGATATGAAAAATAACAATTTTTAATTGAAGTAAAATTGCCTATACAAAACTCCTTCAAGACTAAATTTTTAAGCATATTTATGTACCTACGTATTGTGTTGACTATTTTAGTCCAATACACAATAAAAACAGCTTCTACATTATACTATACTAGAAAAAAACATTTAATTTTATTCCATAAAGTAATAAATAATAAATATTACAATTTGTATTTGATATTTTATAATATTATAAAACCCTTGTTTGATATAGTAAAAAATACTAATTGTACTGATTATGTATTACTAATAATAATATTTATTAGTAATTGTTGAGAAAAAAAGAAAACAAATTGGGATATTATAATTTATTATTTGTCCTCAGGCAGCGAGCGATGTAGGTACAGAGTCTGCATCTGTACTACAGACCAGCATTTGGCATTCAAAAATGTAGGCTCAGTTATAAATTATAATATATAATATTTACGGATGTATTGTATATAATATATGATATACATAATACTTATTAGTTACTGAGAATACCGGTGACAGTGGGAAATTGGTTCTTACAATGGGCAAAAATCTGTCTTAAATATTACCCACAATAAACTACACAAATGAATGACAACAATAGGTATAGTTGATTTAAAATTGATAATATTAAGGTTAAGTCAGTTCTTTTTAGGAAATTAAATTAGGCTCTTATGAGTAATCCAATTTTAAAAATATAACTGAAACCAATAATAGCATACCTACATAATTAATTAGTATAGTGCAAAAACTTTTTTATCAGCCTTTACTAGTGTTAGGTAAAATAGCCAATAGTCATAGTTGGTACCTAGGTACCTAATCGTATAGACGAAATAAAATAGGTACCTACTACTTACCTATAGGTACATTTATTTCATTTATTTGAGATTTCCGTGGCTTAACTTTTTGGATAGGTACATTTGCTTACTTATTTTAATAATTAGTAATAACCATTTTCTAATTAAAATAACCCCTACTTATGTAGGTAGGTACCAACAATATGTCTGATGAAACAATAATTCAATAATGTTATCAGCTCATGTGTAATTAATTGTTTTTATACCTATCTTAGAATGGATTTTATTTTATTTTTGGGACTCTATTATATCGGTAGTACTCCACTAAATATGTTAGCTACTTTGTTACTTTGAACTTTAGTTTTGATTTTATAATTAGGAAAATTGCACTTAATATCATAGTAGTATCAACTTATACTAAAATATTTTTAAAGTACCACGATAATAATTTATTACAATTTATAAGTATCATAGAAATATACAATCAGAGTTATAATAACCCTAGAACACCCCCACTGTATATGCTACTATAATCAATCCAATGCTTAAGCTGTATGAACAACAATGGACTGAAAGTACTGCATTTTTTCAAACACATTCCTTTGAATGAATCACATAAACGTTGATTTTTCTTTTAAATTACACAATATTTTACAAGTTATATAAAATAGGCAAACATGGTATTCATTACATTAAAAAATTTATTTATTTAAAATAATAAATATAAAATTATTGTAGGACAATATTTTGTTTGGGATAATGGATGAAACAATTCTAAAAAAAGTGATACTTAGGTATGCATTTTAAAATGAGTTAAGTTTATTAAAATATAATATACATTTTATTGACAATTTAAGGTAAAATATTGCTTACTATGGTTTTAATTTTAATTTTGTTTTTGAAAAATCGAATATACCTAGCTCTTTGTATATAAAACCATATTTTAATATAATGTTAATGGAGATTGTGAACTACAGGGCAAATTATAAGCCATTAGGTAATAGGATCTTGCCTTGATCATTTTTGTTCCTGATTTTGACGCGTTCCCAATTTTTATTTCATAATATTATATTAAATATTAAAAAATCATGCAACTACGAGTATAACAGTTTCATCCTTAAACTGTACATTTTTAATTTTTATATTAAATACTGAACGTGATATGTATATGATACGTATACACAACTATCATTGTATTTATATGAGTTCCTTCTTTTAAGAAATGTTATATAAAATTCAAACTTCAAATTCGATAATATATTGATTGTTATTATTTTGATTTGTGTGGTGTATTAGGTAATTACTAATTAATCAAAGTTTCGATATTATATACTATTAATGCATAATACTCTATTATAATATAATACAATAAATCAGTACATAACGACAACATCAAGGTGATTATTATAACTTATAATTTATTTATTCTATAACTTTATACCATTTATAATAAAAAGCTGAAAATATTGTTCAGTTAGTGTTAGACCTCATATAAAGTCTAAACCATACATCACAAAATAGATAAAATATTAAAATCTATATTTTCACCTATTCTGTGTCTAAACACTCAAAAGTCAAAATATATAGGTAGTTTATTTTTATTTTTGACTTTTGTAATTTTGTATATTATTTCATTCTTATCAGTTTTTTGTAGTCATATCAAATGGTTGGTAATGGATGACCAACTGTTGGATACCAAATAAATTTTTTGTCATTAAGTAGGTAATAAAATATTTTTCCGGCTAAAATATTGTCGGCTAAAATACGTTTCGGATTAAATATTTGTCGGCTAAAATACGATTCGGCTACAATACGGTTCGGATAAAATATTGTTCGGATTAAATATTTGTCGGCTAAAATACGATTCGGCTACAATACGGTTCGGATAAAATATTGTTCGGATTAAATATTTGTCGGCTAAAATACGATTCGGCTACAATACGGTTCGGATAAAATATTGTTCGGATGAAATATTTTCGACTGAAATAATGTCGGCTAAAATACGGTTCGGATAAAATATTGTTCGGATGAAATATTTTCGACTGAAATAATGTCGGCTAAAATACGGTTCGGATAAAATATTGTTCGGATGTAATATTTTTCGGCTTAAATACTGTCGGCTACAATACGGTTCGGATAAAATATTGTTCGGATGAAATATTTTCGACTGAAATAATGTCGGCTAAAATATTTTCGGCTTTTTTATAGCCCCTCGCTGTTGAAATAATCTTTGAAAGTTTCCCTGATTCTAAAAGTTTCGTGTGTCGAATTTCCTTCTATTGCACTAAATTATATCATGTTGGTCTGTAAGTCTGTTATGTGATCATTTTCTGTTGAATCCGTAGGACACACCATTCGTTCATCTCGTAGTAGATTATGGATAATACAGGCTGCCATTATTAAGTTATCGACTGTCTCAGGAAGAATTTTTATTGGTGTAAAAAATACTCGAAAGTATTGACACATTATGCCAAACGTATTTTCCGTTGTTCTTCTAGCTAGACTTAGGCGGTAGTTAAAAATAGCTTTCGTTGCTTTGATTGATTTCGAGGATAGGGCCTCACATAGTTTCCGTTAGCTTAAATGCTTCATCTCCAACAAATACATGAGGCAAGACTATATCAGTGTTTAGTAAGCATTTTGGTTCTGGAAATTTGAATTCTCCGGTTAAAATTGATTTTCCCAAATTAGATTTAGGGAAAATTCCTGCTTTTCCATATGACCCTATGTCAACCACTAGTTACTTGTTATTCACGTCAACTAAAGCTAACAGAAAAATGGAAAAAAATGATTTAAAATTAAAATACAGTGATCCAGAGTTATCAGGGCAAACGATCCGTATGTGCTTCCCGTCAATGGCGCCGCAACAGTTTGAAAATTCCTCATTTCATAGAAATCATTGGATACTTTTGTTAAACTACTTTCTGTTGATTCAGGCATTGCTATGTTTTTCAATCTATTACAAATAGCTACTAGGACTTCCTTTATAATGGTACTTATCCAGCTGTGAGATATTCTGAACTGAAATGCTAGCGATCAGTAACTCTCTCCGGTTGCTAAAAATCTGTAAATGTAAATATAGTAATATTATTTTTAGTAAACGATTGCAACACACGTTGGCGTACAATAAGAGATTCTTATAAATAAAATATGAAGAAAAGAAAATTTAGTACCGGTTCAGCAGCACTGAATAAATCAAAGTACAACGACGATGCGTTGAGTTTCTTAGACAACGTAGAAGACGAAAAAAGGTAAAAACGATTATTATACTATTAAAATATTCTAAATAAATATTAAATGTTTTTAGATCATAAATGATTATATTACTATTATATTAAATTGATTTCAAATTATGTTATACTATATTACATTTATATAATTATATATTTTATGTGTTTAGTCTTGCAAATTATTTGAGTAAATGTATTTAAATTTTAGATTCTGAGCAGAGCGTCGAATGTATTGATTTTACAATGATGTGTGTTTTTTTTATTTTTTTTTTTTTGTGTCATCACCGTTTGGGGTAGTAGAACTGCTTCGATTTTCTTCAACAGTAGTTTTTCTGATAAGAAAGCGAATCTAGTTGGAGCATTCAGGAGGTCAAAATTTAAAATTCTCAATAGTTTTCAAAACCAAAAAACCGAAACACCGAAAAACAAATGAAAAATTTAAGGGAAAAACGGGAATTTTTACTCAAAACTGGTTTTTGACAAAATCAATTTAGTTTTTTAATGTAACTACAAAAATAAAATAAAAAATAAAAAGTTATTGTTTCATATAGTTTTAAGTTTTCTTTTTCTAATAGAATTGGTTTCATTATATTTCACTACTTTCTATAACAGACTTAAGTTTTTCTGTTTTTTTTGCAGAGTTAGAAAACAAACCAGAAACAGACTGAATAGTTCCCATCATATTTTTTATTGCAGGTACATTACAAGCTTTAGACAAACATAAGTTAAGACATTGACTTAAACAATGTGTGTAAAAAACTAATGGTTGTTTTTTTAAAATTAATGATTTTACACCATTATTAACGCCCAACATATTGGAACCTCCGTCATAACCTTGCCCACGAAGGTTTTCAAAAGTGAGACCTATATTTTCTAATTTAATTTGTATAGCAGTCATTATAACAATTCCTGTTGTTGATTCCATTTTGATAAAACCTAAGAAGTCTTCACGGATTACACAGTTTAGTACATCTACATACCGAACACATAAAGTAAGTTGCTCCACTGTACTGATATCTGTGGTCTCATCACAAAGTATAGAATAAAACTTTGCAGTTTTAACCCTTTCAACAATTTTATTTTGAATAACAATCCTAATTGATTCAATAATTTCGTTTTGTATGGTAGGACTAATCATAGTACAATTTTTATTGGAAGTTTCTAAATTAGTTAAAAGATCTGAATCGCCACATTCAATTCTATAAGATGGTAAGGCACGAAAAAATTCCTTGTTCTCCACTTAAACATTTTTTCTTGTGTCATTATCTTTCATTGACCCTATTTCTCGGTGACCACGTAGAGCTAAATTATTTTGTGGGCAGAATATTATTGTTTTTACTATAGGTATGAGTAGTTTTCGATTATATTCTATTACTTGCTTATTGCGGCTGTCAAGAAGTACATTAACAGCTTTTTCATTTCCAGTTTCATAGTTATGCAAAAAATCATTAGCCCTCTGTTCTGCAAGAAGATGATATTCAGTCTTGGCATGATTATTTAAATCAGTCAGAGCATGCTTATATTTGACCTTTGGTTCTTTAACTAGTTTACCAAGAGACTAAAAATTAAAAAAATATAAAACTTAATAAAAATATATTTTGTATGTATAATGTGTGTTTGCTTCGTACTGCTCAGTACTTATGTGCATATAAAATATTTATTCTAAAACTTATTATACCTGGTTGCCAACTCCTCCACCAGAAGTTATAAAAATAACACACCTTTTACAAAATGCTCCTTGTTTATCTTTGCTATACGCTAACCAAGGAAACGGTTGTAAATATCTATCTTGAAATTTACGGGTTCGATTGCCTTCTATTTGTACTGGAAAAGCAAAGCTAAGTGGTGGCTCCCAAGTAAATTTCAAGCAAGCAATAATTTCAGATTCTTGTAAAGAGCGTTTTTTTTATAAAAGAAGCAATATCATGCATATCATTATGGTTTTCTACAGCTGAGATGTTAGATACTGGAGCAGTCTTTAAAGTATAAATATAAGCAATTAAAATTCAGTAAAATATGTACAGAAAAACCAGCATAACAGCGTACCTCAAAATCTTTAGCAGAAATTGTATCGTCTTCATACCTTTGACATGAATTATCAACAACGTCGTCCTATTAAATACAAATGTCAAACGTGTTCAAATGGACTAATAACTAATGTTATAATTATTTTACATACCTTTTCAAAGCAATTTTTGTTTTTTAACAACCAAATTAAACAATGGGAACATCTTCTTTCTTTCGGACGTCATAATGACTTATGTGTACGAAACGTGAAAACTACAAATATCGTAATATTCACTAATAAATTATGGTACGTACGTGCTTTCGTTTTGAAGAAGTAAAAACTATTAGAGAGTAGAGAACTAGAAACTTAAGGCGTCTTCACAGCGGTTAGGGTAAAAACTGATAAGGTGCACATCGGAATGGTACGGTGGTCGAGAAAAGCAGACCGGGTTAATTGCCGCGGTGCGGTGATAGCACTGTGAACAGTGTGAACAACCCGTAGATGATACGCTCCCGATAATATAATAAATTATGTAAAAACATTGATACGGTCGATAGGGGGGATGGCCCACTGCCCCCCCCCCCCCTCATGGCTACGCCACTGTACTATTTGTCTCGTGTTCAGAGATGCTCAATTCCTAAAATTAATAACATTTTCAAATTACAATTTTCTACTATGTACTAGGCACATGTAGTGTGTCATTAGTGTTATTTTTTTAAATATTTTGTAATTGTTAGGTAAAATAATTTATTATAAATAGTAACAGTATGTCAGTTTTAATTATATCTAATCAATGATAGTAGGTGTACCCTATACGTTAACAAACAAATGATTCTTTTTTATTCCAATTGTCTTCAGTCTAATACTCTAATTAGTACCTATTACCTACTAATATAAATTATTCATTAATGTGCTTACTTGATAAGGTTCTTTGTTAACTAAATTATTATTCTTATTTGTCTCGTGTTCAGAGATGCTCAATTCCTAAAATTAATAAAATTTTCAAATTACAATTTACTACTATATACTAGGCACATGTAGTGTGTCATATTTTATACTATTTTTTTTAAATATTTTGTAATTGTTAGGTAAAATAATTTAGTTAGTAGCTTTTACCTACTGATATAAATTATCCTTTAGGTAACATGCTTACTTGATAAGGTTCTTCGTCAACTACATTTTCATCTTTATTTATCTCATGTTCATGTTCCTAATAGTAATTATCAATAAATAGGTACAATTATGAATAATAAATATAAATAAAATGTTATGAAAATGTAAATAAATTATAATAAATAATTCCAAATGTTGTTGACGCAAAAAATACAAACTTACCGTATAAGAAGTAAGGATATTACTATCGAAAGCATTATGTGTTTGATTTTTAAGAGCTTTGTTATCAATAAAAAAAGTTATGTTTTGGTAAGTTCTTGCAGCTTCGTTCAATTTTTTATTTTTTATTTCTTGCTCTTTAGCAGCCCCTCCTAATCATTTTTTTACATTTTTGGTTGTATCCATTGCAACGGTAAAGTTCAATATCATCAAATATTAAACACAATTTTCTGAATATATTTTAAGTTACATGGTACATTTGTAATGACTGTTAAACTGTTTGTAGATTAGGTCATAAACGAAAATTATATTTAGCCGGCTTACTAGTATAGCCACGCGGCACCCGATTTTGTGTAATATGCATGTGTATTGCCTGTCGGGTGGCGGGCGGAGGCCGGTATAATAGCAATAAGTAGATATCAAGAGCTAATAATAGCTAATAATATACTCATTGCCAACGCACTGAGTTGATAACTGAGTGTTATAAGATATTATATGACTATAGCGGATATGAAACTAAAATAATAGACTGCATGATAGGTGACAGATTTACCATAATATCACAAATTCATAAATTAAATTTAGAGGCCCCTAAATTGACCGGCCCAAGTGGACTTCTCCACCTTTCCGCCCTGACAGGTCCTCACCTGACAAGAAGGATAAGGTGACCCTAAGGTTAGTGCGTTTTGTAGTGGTTTACTTCAATATTTTACATCTTTTCGATTTTTGATTACTGCATTTATATTTAAGAAAATGTTTAGCATTTTAGAACCTGTGAACAAAAATGTACATGGATTTGTTAGCAGCTACTTCTTTATATGACAATGCAAAATCAAAAAAATACGTGAATTGAACTGTAAGGAGAATGATTCTTTTCCTGAAGTTATAAAAGATGGACCATACAAAACAATTTTCTGTAAAGCTTTTTTTCTTTGCCTGTACCTCGATATAAATGCATTCCAAAAAATCTGGGGAATTAATCCAAATTATTCCACTAAATGATTGTATTAAAAAAAATTAAAATAGAATGTTATTATTATTTTATTATATATTTGTATTTGGAACTTAAGATCTAATACAAACGGAATTAAATGATCGTTTTGGTGATGAGTCTTTAGGATCATTGAAAGATCTTTCTCTTCTTTCAAGCAAAAGAATCCTTGAAGCTAAGCTCTTGCCTAATTCTTTACCTAAAAATGCTTTAAAACAAGTTGTTGAGTTGTATGGAGAATTTTTGATGCTCTTATTAGAAACTATATGGATTTTTGTCATCCATTTAGAACTTGAAAATCAGTAACACTGCCAGAATATATTCATGCAACTCCCAATCAGGGTTCTGATGAGTCTGAAGAGTTTTTTAATGATTTTTAACGAGATAAAAGTGACGATAAAGATCTACATAATAATAATAATAATAATAATAATAATAATAATCATCATAAAGATCTACCAGTGATAGAACTTATATTGTCACATTACCAGCTATAAAAGCAACAGCTGAAAGATCGTTTTCAAAATTAAAATCCTATTTGGTGTATAGGTGGGCCAGTTTCCATATGGAAGGAGAACAGTACACGCGGATGCCCACAGTGGTCCCAGCTCTGCCCGATCCTCTGGAAAGTCGCGATCTCACCAATTTATGAGAAATTAATCAGCCCGAGGGTATCCAGGATTATAACATATGCAGATAATATACTTCTGATGGTAGGAGCGGCTAGGCCGAATACAGCGTTCTCGAGTATAGAAAAACAGCTCGAACTATTTAGTGGGCGTCAGAGTTCACGCTCGAGTTCTCAGCTGGAAAGTCTCAGCTACTTTCCTTGAAAGGCAGATTAAAGCACGGCTATAGCGTCGCCTTTGGAACAGCCGCTGATGCGCCAAGGATAGAGTCGTCAGCTACTGCGAAATACCTAGGCGTCCTTCTGGACCCGATTCGCAACTACTGGGACCACGTTGCGGCTATAAGCAAAAAGTCTGACAAAATATATAGACGACTGAGGGCCCTGTACTCTGCTAACTGGGGTATGGGTTAGACAGCAGCCCACACGTTGTACAAGGGTGTCTTCCTTCCGAGAGTAGCCTACGCGGCTGAAATCTGGAAGGAGGGAACGAAACTCCTCAAAAGCCGAGCGAAACTGCTAAGCGCGGAAAGAAAACCCCTGCTAGTGATAACCGGCTCATATACTTTTACATTAGTACTTTATTACATTAGTCTTCCACCAAATGTCTCGCAGAGGTGACAGGCACACTCCACTTGGACCTGGAGATAACGCACCAGGCCTCAATAAGAGACCTTGTCCGGGCAAAGATCACAGCCTTAGACAAGGAAATGTTGACCGATGGACTGTTAAATGAATGGCAAGAAAGGTACTCTTCAAATTATGATATCTCCAAAAATATTTTATATGATAAAGACTTACATGTTTTTGTGGTAGTAGAACTTCAGTTGCCTTCTCTGTTGCCTCTATTTTCTGCGCTTGGTTTGTTTTGTCATTACTGGTCACCACATTTCTTAGTTCTTCAAAATAGAACTCAAAGTTTTCAAATGACTACAATTATTATAATATTAAACATGTCCATTAAATTTAACAAAAAAAAAGGTGGGCAAGTGGGTGTCGCTCTGCTGTACAGTAGGTTACAAGTGGGTCACTGTATAATGGATGGTATTAAATTTGAATTCAATGATATAATATCATTGTATAAGAAAAACGATTCTGAGCGGTGACGGTATGTCAGTCTATGTATAAGACATATTATATACATATCTATGGTATTAAAACAAAATTGACCTATAATAGGTACCTATAATAAATTACAAACTAATCATATCACAATATCCATTAGATACTTATAACACAGAATAACCAGAAGAGACACCTTTTCAGTTTAACATGGGTTCTTATGGGGCACAGATTTGCAACACCTGGTGGAATATCAGTGCTGCCGGTAGAAAGATAATTCCCATTATTCTTTGTTTCTAGCGCGACTGATATTCCCTGAACAGAGGCAATTAGTAATTACCTTTAGCCGACGATTATAAAGAATCTTTATAATCGTGCTTTAGCCTAACCTAATAAGTAATAAAGTTGTAAGTTGCAAGTTTGCAACTTGCTTACTCGCCTCAGTGTCTTTTGTGTTTATGTTCCAAAATATGAAGTCTGTACTCTGTAAAGTGAATAACTGATTTTTCAATTTCTGTGTTAGTTAATTTTTATTTGAATTATAAAATGTATATTTTAAATTAATAACATAACATTTTTTGTCTAGCATAGGTAAGTGTAGATCATGAAATATATATTTTAGATCATAGGTGCATTGAACAAATAAATCTCAAAATACATTGTAGGTTTAAACAAATTTATTACAATTACATGTATATAATATATTTACAAGTTACAACTACCTAGGTACATATATACAAAAATAAAAAATGTGTATTGTATAATATTAAGTAGGTACTTATACGGTAGATACCTTTATACATATTAGTAATTTTTTTAGTCAATTAATTCTAAAAAGTTGTATAAAATGGTAAAATTTGACACAAAATTTAATAATATTAATTATAAATGTTTTAGAATTGATAATTTCCTATTTTTACGTTTAGTTTCAGATAACATTGTTCTATTTAAAAATTTAACACTAGAAAAAATTCTAAAACGAATAAATAATTTCATAAGAAATTGCTTATTAAATAACTCACATGGATGATTAAAACGTACATTACATAGAAAATCATTTAAAAGATAACCAACATTATCTCTTATGGCAATTATTGGAAACTGTTCAATAAAAATATTTTCTAACTTAAGTATATAATTATAAAAATCATTGTGGGGCATTAGTAATTTACCAAAATTAGAGTCATTGTTTGAAGAATATGATTTAAAAAAAGATAATAGAAACGATTTG